TCCCCGATCATTACAATCTTTCGATTATCTGAGGTCTTCAGAACAACTCTCTTAGTCTCAAAATCAATATTTACTCTACGTTTGTCCAACCAATCTACTCCGAGAATCAAATCAAACTCTTCAAAGGGTAACTCCATCAGGTTAGCCAGAAAAATCCCCCCCTTGATCTCTATAGGGCACTCTCTAAAAATACGATCCAACACGATGGATTTGCCTAAGGGACTTTGAACTATCATTGAATGCTCAGTATTCTCAACATGAATATTTAGACCCTCAGAAACTGAATGTGATACATAGGAATTTGTAGAGCCACTATCAAACAATGCAAAGTATGGAACTAAATGAATAGTAACAGTACCTGCAGTCACATTAGGCCCATCACGATCTTGTCAAAAGTCTAGCAGTGTAAACCAATGCAGGTTGTTTGGCCTCAGATCTGATTGGACCCCTACTCTGAGATGCTCGGCCTCTGCTAGCCGATCCAGCTGCTCTCTCCTGAGTACGTCCCCGTGTTGGAGTCTGAACTGTACTATGAGAACTAGCGGGAGTACGAGTTGGTGTCTGAAATGAACGATCTCGCTCTAGACAGTCCCTCAAAAAATGGTCACCAGAACCACACTTATAACATGTGCCCAATTTTCATTATGCATTCTCCAATATGATGTTTTCCACAGTAATCACATATCTTCAAAGGTTACAACCCAGACGATCCACCATGTCTAAAAGAATATACAATTGAACAACCAGATGCAACAGATCTGACACTCGCACCGCCTCTCTGAAAGGAATCACCCCTGCCTCTCTTGCTAGGATGTGCAGAAGAATTAACAGAACCAGAAGGCCTCATGAATCGATTCTGGGCTCGATCAGTATCTATCTTCTGCTCCATACCCAATAGCTCTATTTCCTCAGCAGTCTTAGCTATCTCAACCAAGGCGTCAAAATTCCTCTCCCGATGAGTAGCGACTCAACTCCTGATTTCATACCTGAGTACATTCTCGAACCTCAAGCATCGATCTATCTCAGTGTTAACAAGTCCAGGGGCATAGCGACTCAATCGGATGAACTCAACCTCGTAGTCCATAATAGTCCTATACCCTGCTCCAGATTTGAAACTCTTGGCGTCGCTCTGCAGATATCTCTCTCCGATATAGCGACTCCGGAAGCGCATCTTGAAAAGATCCCATGTTAATTGGTTCCTTGGAATACTACTAGAAATGGATTGCCACCATCTGAAGCTTTCTTTCTTCAATATAGCTAGGGCCCCCTTTAACTTATGCTCAGGTCTGAGGTCCATCTCATCCATAATCCTCTGTGTCCTCCAGCCATACTCAGCGTCTGTCGGAGTCCACCAGTAATACCCTCGATGGCGTATTCATTCATCTCAGAATCCTCATCTTCAGTGACGGGAGTGTCTCTCACAGGAGTAAACTGATCATCATGAGAAAGAGTCGGATCTACTTGCGGAACAGGAGGATCACGTGGTGACATCGATCGTCTATCGTAACAGAAGGTCGAGAGCGACTCACCTCTACCACGTCCCGTCCTGTCCTACGACCTCTAGCAACATTCATCGTTGGATTTATAAGGCTCTATAGAAAGAATTTGAAACATATGTCAGATTAGCAAACCTAAATGGTCACATATCCATTCAGAGGTTTTTTTTTATATACTTATAGAACATTAAATATATAGAACAAATATTAATAAACATATATGTCCAAACTATAGCAAATACATATCACCAAATATAACTGAAAAAACATATAAATATGTTCGTACAAATAAGTATTGATTCCCCTGATGCCAAATATGCTAGTTCACGGTCTGTTGTTATCTGAAAAAGGGTAAAACTAAGAAGAGCTAAAAAGCTCAGTGTGCTCCAACAGTGTATAAAACATACAAATAAAATATTCCAGTAAAAGCAGTTATCAACATGTTTTATTTAAAAAAATATGAATACTACCCCCCCATCAAGTCCAAAATGTGTAGGTTCCCCAGAACCATACACCCACAAACAAGTCCAGTAAGGCCCTGAGCACACAGCAAGGAGCCTAATAAGGTCCTGAGCACTCAGCAGAGGAACCTCCAGGTATACTTCCTCCAACATTATTCCCCCCAAATAATCATATTCCGCTTATAACGGATATATATAAAAATTAAAACATAATTCAGGTCAAGTACAATCAGTCCATGTCAAGTATCATATAAAAATTCAGGTCAAATATCATATCAATCCAGGTCAAATCAGATAAACTATTTATTTGATAGTTTAAAACAGTAAAATAACACTGTCAGGAAACACACCTGTAACAGTCTGGGAAATCAGATAGGGAAGCCTATTATTGGGTTTGTCGATCACGTTCTGCTGCAGCGCTAGATCCTACGAATTGGAAAAATCCATATTGGAATCCTAATATAATAATCTAAATATTTTAAATAATACGGAAACATACGGGTAATTCTCGTAGTACGCGGTTCAGGCTGATCTAACGAACGAATAACACCGGACCTAATTGATCCTTGCTCAGGTGAAATACGAGTACCTTCATAAAATATTTTTATTGAATCAATCCTTGACCAAATCTCAATTAAATAATCAAAATATTAAAATATTAAGCCTTTTGGGTTTAGAAGCTCGATTCGGGAATTTCGGGTCATAATTTGGCAAAACGGACTTCGGAATCAGATTCAGGACGTCGAAAAACATAAAGTATGACTTTCTGAAAATTTGAATTATTGATCAAAATCAAAGTCAACCGGTTTGACTGACGATTCAGAGACTTTCGGTTTTGAATTTTGTGAAACCGACCCCAAAAACGGATTCGGGACGCCAAAAACTGTCAGGATATGTATTCTCGGAAAAATTAACGGCTGTTTAATAGCCGGTCAAAGTTCTGGTCAAAGGTGGCCAACAAACTGTCAATCATTTTACAGCACCCTATTCGAATTAATTCCCAAAATATCACCAAAATTGAATTAATTCCCAGAATATCACCAAAATCGAATTAATTCTCAGAATATCACCAAAATCGAATTAATTCCCAGAATATCACCGGTCAACGGTCGGGTCAAAACCGGTCAAACACTTTGAAAAACCGGTGGGACCGGTCATCTCACATGCCGCCTCAGCAGCGCGTGGGGGTGTTTCTGGTGGCGTAAAATTCACAGAAAAATTTCTAAAAATTATTTTGAGCGATTTCGAGATACTTACAAAGATCGGTTCAAATTTTTGAACGGCGGAGAGCTCGATTTCATCAAATCGGAAACTTTGACCGCTTCACCTCCCTACGCGCCGTCATCGACGGAGATCGAGGATGAAACCGGCGGACTCGGAACGACACAAGGAACACGATGGTGTGGGAGGTGTCGTAAACGGAGCAACGATCGGCGATGAATTTAGGATTTTCTAAGCGATTGAACTAAAAAAAATGTCGATGCTTTGACTTTAAATTCACGACATTTGACTTGAAATTCACGGCATTTGGCAGCGTTTCGCTTCAATTAATTTAAGGGGATTGTTCCTGACTCGACAACCAACACGATGGTGCTTTCAAAACGACGATCGAAATTTGGACGGTGTCAATATCATCGTCGGAAGTTAGCGTAGGATAAGGGGATTTTTGGATGTGGTTTTTTGTTTTGAAAACAGAAAACCACGTATACATACGTATAAACCAAAAACATACCTAACATTTAAGGGTAAATTCAAGGCTTGATCCCTGAATTTCCTTAACTCTAAAATAAGCTATAAGTTTTAAAAACTTTCAATTTAGTCCCCAAATTTCACCAATTCACTTAATTAACTCCTCCAAATTTAATTAATTATTATTATTATTTTTCCCCCAAATTTTCGGGTTGTTACACCCACTGGTAATCTTCTATTCCGTGAATCAAACGCACCCTTATGGTCGTGGGATCGAGTCTCATGGTTGGCAATTCATAATTGGAGGTCTTCTACGGAAGTTGCTCTCAACCTGTCGTTGGAGGCAGCCTACTACCCTACCTCCTCTTACCCCATTATATATGAGATTAGGTAAGCTAATTTTATTTTCCATGTCCAAACTAAAATAAAATAAGACACGTGGGTATAAAGACGGGTCTTTTTTCAATGTAAAAAATGATTTTGGAGATTGTATGATGTTCACTCTTGAAGTCCTATTTTTACACCGTAATGGTGTTGTTTGTTTATTTGTTTGGCTTTGGATTAATATATAATGATTCGAGACATAATTATTTTGGTAAAACATATTATATTAAAATTAATCTAAAATATATAATATTATGCTTTTCCATATAATAAGTATATAGTTTAAAAAAAAATTACGATAAATATAAAATAATATATATTTAAAGATTTCAAAGTATTTGATAATGAATGTGCATATTCCTGCATATATAAACCTCAAGAAAAAATAATAAATAATTTAATCACTAATGTGGTTTAATTCGTGCAATAAGTACATACTATTTAAATTTATTTATCATATTATATATATATATATATATTTGAGTAGTTTAATGTGATTATAAGATAATATTTATCTAATATTTTATTAGTTTATTGACATCACATACTCTATTAGTGTAATTGTTTGATACGGATATCTCTAAAAATTTTAAACTCCTTTCTATTATTGAGATTAGTTAATGAAATCATATAATATTTAAATTTAATTTAATGTATAAATTAATGAAAATATAATTTTAAGATTTAACTAAAACATTTTTTAGTTTTAAAACTGAAAATCAATTAAAAAGTATTGACTATAATATAAAGTAATATAATATAATAAAGTGAAAAAAAAATCACAACATTTTGTCGCATATATTCATAAGAAAAAGAAATCGTAGATTCTAGAAAGAAGAAAAAAAAGTGAAAGAGCATTGAATTGAACTATAAATATCTCTTCAAATATCTTCCTACCAAGTCCCAACTAATCATTAAAAAGGGCTTTCTCACCGAACTATCTTCCCCATAAGGCCATAATACCCCTCTCTGCAGCCCTCAACTGCCGTCCTCCACCCATGTACTCTCCCGCCGCCATCCAAACACCCACGCTGGACTCCGAGTCCCCGGCCCTCCTCCAATCAATCACCTCCCATGGAGGCTACGCTTTTACCCGCATGGCCACATTAGCCGCTTCTGGCGACCAACGCGCTGCTGAGGCGGCATGTGAGATGGCCTGGGAGCAGCTTCACTCTGGCCCGTGGCACTCTGTTCTCCCCGTCTGGCGTGACGCTTACTCCATTGCGTGCCTCCATGTGGCCAAGTTCCATTTCTCGAATGGCGAGTTCAGAGATGCTCTTAGGTCTTTGGACTTGGGGATCATAATGGGCGGTCCTTTGCTTAGGAAAGATTTGGACTCCGCAATTGAAGTCGTTTCGGCTGTCAAGTCCAGCCAGTATCATAACGGAGTAGCTGATGATAATAAAGGTCGGGAAAATGCAGGGTCTCGATTGCTCGTTCCTCCACGGGAATTTGATAAGTCCGAGGTAAGGCTCGTTTTTTACTGTAAAAGAAAAAACTCTCTTTCTCGTTCTTAGAAATTGGAGCTAAAAAACTCTCTTGTCCGTTCTTAGAAATCGGAGCTTGTTAAAGTCTGGCGATATTCTAGATAGAAAATTGCATTCACTATATTCTCCTTCCTTCAATTGAAAATCCAATTGTTATAATATTATATTGACTAATCAATAATTAATTCTAATGTTTACATAGTATTAAACATAGTAACAATGTTAATTGGTTATGTTTGGTGTTTATTGTAGTTTCCTTGTGGCTATTGCTTTTGATATTGAATCCAAAAGTGTGATTTGATGCATGCTAGTATATAGTTTTTGGTATAATCACCTGTATCAGATATATTTCCCTTTTGCATGATAGAATTATACTCTAATGTAGGTTATATTTTCTTTTTAATTGAATAAGTAATTTTACTATTTGTTTTTGCTTTTCATCAACTTCAGAACAAATAAAATTTCAGTAGAAAACTCAAAAACCAAATGAAGATCTAATACTTTTCCCCTCTTCTGGGAATTGTTTATAGTGTGTGTGTGTGTGTCTTATGGTCAACTCCCTTGTGGTGTGAATGTTGTAGAACATATTGTTTCATTAAATTATTGGAAGAAAAATAAAATGCTCAAATGCGGAATCCCTTTTCAGTTTCTTATGCTTATTCATGTTTAGAGGCCATCCAGTTCGTTGTACTTATACTACATAAGAGTTTTTGAATCTTTGATCTTTTCGGTTTGGTTTACGTTTTTATTTCTTTTTGTTTACCTTTTGTATGATCATCATTTTGTCTGCTTCTGTTGAAATCGGGCAATTCTTTAAGCTTTGGTTCCTTTAAAGTTACAGGACCTAAAGACCTCTAATTTCATGTTACTATTATAACTTACATTTTGGTCTTTTTTCTTTTCTGTATTTTCTTATTTGAGTTGGCGTTCTTACCCAAGGACACAAATTCAATCAGCCACGTTATATGTAGTATAGATAAATACTATTTATAACATTCCTTTTTCCTTGATTAAATATTGTTGGTTTGAATCCTGCTTCATTTATGTTTATGCCTTTAATGAGTTAAAACATTGAGGATATTATCAATAGGAATTTACTTTCCATATTTGTGGTTAATTTGGATTTGATGCTGACAGTTACAAATATCTAGATTTTTTTTGTAACTCGTTATTATACTAACTCTATTGGTTAAACTACTTGATGAGTTCCTCTGTGCTATCGGCTGAAACATTTAATTTTGAAGCAAAGAGGTAAAATTTTAAATGGCAGTAACCTTGAATGTTAAAGAAAGTCTAACTTGTGTTTAAAATGACAAGGGAAACAAGTAAAACTAAAATTCAGCATTTAAAACACGAAAATGACTAACATGTTCACTTCTTTTTTCTATTCACTTTGAAACACAGTAAATTAGCATTTTGTAACATTTAACCTTGTTATGTGCTTCAAAATAAATATAGAATGTCTAAATTGCTCACTTTTATGTAGAGAGACTGTTTTCTCCTAAACCTGTAGTATAGGAATTCACCAGGTAGCTTTAGTGATTCTATTATATATTGCAGTCTATTTCTTATTTTTATTTTGTAAAAAGTTAAGCATAACTATGATGTACAGACACATGTTCACAAGGCAAAGGGCGGAGAGAATCTTTGTAAGACACACTCACACCCGAGAATTCCAAAAGGGTATTCAACTTTTGGAAGTTATAGTTGTCTATTCTTTTAATATCTAGTATTATTCTTCAAAGTGAAAACAGGGCAGCTTGCCCATTTGTCATTTCTTTAGTTCTTATATATATCCATTACATCATTTTATCATGTTGCTAGCTCCTTTTCTTCATGATTTATTATTTTATGAATAGGATGGTTGGTATATTTCTGGTAAAGAAAAACTTGTGTGGCAGTAAGAAATCTGAATTTAATCACTGATTCTGTTTCCTTTTAATCCTATAGGTACTACAAATTTTGCCAATAAGGTCACTATCTTCCAAGATTGTGCCGAAGAGGCCCACCCTATCTCTAGAGGCATTTCTATGTGAGTATTTCCTCTTGGGTTCTCCGGTTATAATTACTGATTGCATGGCTCACTGGCCAGCCACGACAAGGTGGAATGATATGGATTACTTAAGAACGGTTGCTGGTGATCGTACTGTTCCAGTTGAGGTGATTAATCTTCCTTTTTTTCCTTTTCTTGAAAATTCAGTAGAGCTCAAATTCGTAACATATACTCTGCTATATTCTGTTTTCTTGAAATATGTTTTACCCCTAGCTACATATAGTTTTTTTAAAATAGCGTTTTATTTGATATTTTCTACATAATTTGAAGTTTAGGTGTTACTGCGGTCTAGGATTGCTCCACAGCATGATACATGTACTTAACAATATTAAGTTGCTTAACTGAGAATGTCTCTGTTACCAATCTTAACTAGTTGCTCCCAGCATTTAAGCTAATCTGGATAATCTAATGTGGTTTGCAGTTCATCTTCCTCATATACATTGTGATAATTTTAATTTGATTTTCAAGGCAATCTGTGTCGTCATATGCTCAATGAGCTATTGATAGGCTAAAGGTCGTTATGCTTTTGTTTCTTTTTTGGCCTTGTAATTAATTTACTCCATCTTTATGCACCTGCCAAGAGTCGCATAACTGAGAATTATTACTGATTGTAAGGTTACTGAATGATTGAACCGATTGTATCCCAACTGATTGTAATCATTAGTGGATGAAGCCATTATTTGCGAACGTTGAATCTAGGTATCCTTATAAACCTTGTTTCTTCATAACTTTTTCTCATGGAAGAAAAGTGTTCAAACTACATCTAGAATAGGATCTTGTCATAATAAGACAATCTAGTGGGGAATTTGGTAATGTTCACCTAACCCTTATTATGAATTACCATATGGCTTTTCGAAGGTCGTTTTTCTTATTATGTGATCACGTGTAGTTCTCAAGCAATTTTGCGGGAAAAGAATATGAGAAATGGAATCCTTTGCCAGGTCATATGATTTTTCTTAATAATCATAATGGACAAATGCTTCAGATCTTTCCTTTGGTGTATAAATCTTTCAGAGAAGGACCATTATTGTGGGTCTATTGTGAATTAATCAAGTTCTTATCATTTAAAAGCATTTGGAAGTTTCAAAATAAAAAATAATTGATGTATTAGAAACTTTTCAAAATATTCATGCTGTAGAAAATGATTGGCTAAGAAATGGTGAAAAAAGAAAAAGAAAGGGTTAACTGAAGGAACCTGGGGATTGGCTTAGATGGTTCAGCCATCCAATATTGGATTTGGGAGCCCAAAAAAATAGTTAAGAATTGTAGAACTGTTTTTTTAACTTCACTACCTAGTTATTGTCTCTAAAAGTTTCTATTACTGATGAAGTTCGTATTATTTAAGACTATAGTTCCATTTCTCTTTTCATTTATTTTTGGCAATAATAATTGCAGTGTAGATCATTACTTCGGTTTTTAACAGAAAATTGGTAAGTTGGGAATGCTTTTCAGGTTGGAAAAATTACTTATGTTCAGATTGGAAGCAAGAGCATATTACATTTTCCGAGTTTCTTGAGAGGGTTCAATCAAATGGCTGTAGAAGTAAGGTCCCCACGTATCTTGCACAGCACCAATTGTTTGATCGGTACTAATATCCTCTTTCTTATATTTTATTTTCAGATTGAAGCAAGAGCATATTACATTTTCCGAGTTTCTTGAGAGGGTTCAATCAAATGGCGATAAGTAAGGTCCCCACGTATCTTGCACAGCACCAATTGTTTGATCAGGTACTAATATCCTCTTTCTTATATTTTATTCTTTGGAGGATCTAATTTCACTCTTTGTACTTAAGTCCTGTTAATGTTATTTGTAACAAGGCAGATAAATGCTTACGGAAGGACATTTCTATTCCCGAGTATTGTTATGCTGGTGGTGGGGAGCTGAGATCTATGAATGCATGGTTTGGTCCAGCTGGGACAGTGACACCTTTGCACCATGATCCACACCATAATATACTTGCTCAGGTATTTGCGTGCCCTGATTATTCCTAACAAATGGTATGGTGAATTGTGGTTCCATGAAACTGCTCTAATTCCTCATGAGTCTTGAGATTGGGGGAACTATGAATCTACAAATTCGAGATGTGTTCTGTTTTGGAGCTTAGATCATAATAGCAGTAGCTTGTCTCATCTTTCCTATGCACCCATGTCTATAGCAGCCATTAAATTTGGATACCTAGAGCTGATTTAGATTTGTAAATGACTAATTACCATCTTACTGGATGAGTCACACAAAAGAGTTCCAGATACTTTTAGTTACCATATACTTTTAGTTACCATCTTACTCGAGGGCTCCTTAAAATGAGTTGTATTAAAGGGATTTACTCAATCATGGAAATCATCTTAATCAGGGATTTTAACTAACGTCGTTGCATATTCCTATGCTTTAGTTGTGTGCGAAATTGGATGTCCAGATTGCTAATTTAAAAGATGTGGTTTGATTTGGGTCCTTCCAGAGGCATTTTCTTGGACTTGATTTACATGAAATTTAAATGTTTTAATCTGTTTCATTTTCCCCAAGTGTTGAATCATCTCTAAGGCCACATGTCTTACAAAGGGACATCAATCATCATCTCCATTAGGAAAGTGTAATACTGTGTGTTAGGTTGGCATGTAGCATTTCTTGAGCGCGTTGCTCAAGAGTATTGCTTATTTTATAAAAGTATTTCTTCAATAGCTATACTAATTCAAACTGTTTTCTGGCATTTATCGTTACCCTTGTGCTGCATTTCCTATGTACATATAGGTTGGTGGATGGTCTACTTTAAACCTATCTGTTTGGATTTAATCTGATCGATATTCTGTTCCTTATTTTTAGGTTGTTGGTAAAAGTATGTGAGACTCTATTCTGCTTCATGCTCCGAGGAGCTTTACCCATACAGCGAAACTATGCTCCACAATTCCACCAGGTACCTGCTTGCTTGGAACCTCCTTTTGAAGAACAACTTGATATTTTAATGATAGAACTTTCCATGTAGACTTTGCAGATATGCACAAAAACACTCTCATCAGACACGAAATAACTCATTCTTGATAAAGTTGCATCCCCATCTCATCCATGTAGACTTGATACATGCATAAAACACTTTCATCTTGTCCATTGGTGTACGGAATTGATTTTCTTTCTTTCTCTCGAGAGAACCTTTTCTAACCATTATGAAAATGTTAAAGCTGTGACATCCAATGTCTTGGGACAAAAGAAGACGGTTAACTACTTATGGATTTCATCTAGAGCTCTCTGTAGAGGCCTTCTGTTTATGGAACTTCTTTGCTTGCTTCTGTCCGTCTCTTTTACCTGATTAAAAGCTTTACTGATGACACTGACAAAAGATGTATTGAATGTAGGTTGATCTTGACAACATGGATGAGGTGGAGTTTCCAAAGGTGTGTGTTAGAATTCATGGACTGCATTTTAGAGGAAGGCGAGATGCTTTATATCCCACCTAAATGGTGGCATTATGTGCGATCAATACGACGAGTTTTTCAGTCAGCTTCTGGTGGAGTAGTGATCAGGGAGCTCAATGGTGGGTTAGTATATAGTAGTGTATCATTTCTATGCTGATGCTGTAAAATGTTGGAAAAGAGTCGATAATGTGTAATATAAACCTTGGCTTGTAAAATTCAAGTAGAGTCTGAAAGAACATTATGATGATAGTGTATTCGTGCGTGTATGGAGAATTTTGTGTGCATTTTAACTCGGTCTACTCGACTGGTTTAGCAAGGATTTAAATAGAGCAACGAAAGCTACGGGATGAATGATTCTTCTTTTTAATATGGTTCGATGAGTCAAATATGATTATAAAATGTCACATCACTTATTAATATTGATGTATTCATATCAAATTAATTGTTATAAACTATAAAATAATGTTATTCGTATTATTAATTTAAGTAAAAAGAAACTTCAAAACCCTTGAATTGGTTGAAATAAGCTATCTTTGCTTATTAAGCACTGATGGATCACAAGAACAAATGTTAGAGAGAAGTGAGTAACATCAAAGATTCAATCTTTGACAACATTAATGCTAACTTCAGAGATTCAATCTTTGACAACATTAATGCTAACTTCAAAGATTCTAGAGGTGGATGAGGTTCCTGAATGCGTGGAAACATCATTAATGTCATTACTAGCATCTAGAGGATGACTATATTTTGTCGATTTCCAAAGCTTGGATAACTATGTGCATAAAGATATATTACCAATAACTGAATCCTGCCTGCTGCATCCTTGTACTGCTTTCTTTTAAGCATGATTGTTAATGCCAGCAACATTCTGGTAGATCTTTGCCAATATGCAACATACTAAAAGCAAGAATTCATCATAAGGGTATGGCTGAGAAACACAGTTTACTCGAAATTCAAGACAGTTTGAAGTAATCCAAATTGCCGATTTAAACATCCTGAACTAATTCCAGGATGCTAAGACGGCATAAGAAGATGATGACTAAGGTGGCAGATTTAAATAATGTAAAATCGACTACTAAACCAAATCCCTGGATGTCACATAACTACCAAATCAGCGACTACAGATTAAGAAGGTTGTACTCAACAATCAGTCTGATTAGATTCCCCAAAAACAGATTTCATCATCCATTGATTTTTTTCAGCAAACCACTGAAATCAGATATTTAACAGATACATATAATAAGAGAGCGATGAAGGGTTAAGCTCTCTCTCCCCTGATCCTCCTAGCAAGCTGAATATCCTTAGGCATAATGGTAACCCTTTTCGCGTGAATAGCGCAGAGATTGGTGTCTTCGAAGAGTCCGACAAGATAAGCTTCAGCTGCTTCTTGGAGTGCGGCAACGGCGCTGCTTTAGAACCTCAGATCCGTCTTGAAATCTTGAGCGATTTAAGGTGTTGCTCATGCACCGTAAACATTCTTGTTCTGTTATTTATATAAAATTTCATACAAGCGAAATAGATCGATTTTATTTTATAACTGTAAAAAAAATAAAATATTTAATAAAATAATTTAAATAAAATAATTTAAAAATCAATAATACAATATTGTTAGATTCGTAAAATATTCTAATAGTGCCTAACAAGTAATTAATTATGTAATTCATATTTGTGTAAAAATGTCAATTTTTTTCCCTACATTTTTTATTAAAGACGCTTAGAGATCCAAGAAACAATTAAATACCTTCTAAAATTCCAAATTCCTGTAAAAAAACACCATATATTAGAAAATCAGATGAGTGCTTTAGTTTATGAATTAAAAATCCCACGTCATTATTTTGACACTTTTGCCGGATAAAATATGCAAATAGCTTTTTATTATAAACAAATTTAATCCCTCTTTCTTCCCTGCAGCAAGTCAAATGTGGTGACATATGAATGAGGCCTGGACAACCACCCAAACATGGCTAGATTCACATCTAAATTTACATGTCTATATGAATGAGGACAAGCACATAAAAGACCTCCACCATTCCAACTCCCATCTAGTTTAGTTCACATGCACATGGCTGCTGCTTTTCCTTCATTCTCCACTTTCGGTTTCCTTTGTACCAAAACCCTCTCCACCTTTCTTTTCTTCAACAGCAGCAGATGCATCTTTCTCTTTCCATTTTTGTGATTCAGCAACGTCTTGGAACATTTCCATGAAGGTTTTGCAATCTAATTTTAAGAAGAAGAAATGTGTAGAATCGAAACAACATTGATTCAATTGCATTTAGCATGGTAGCCAAGTGATTTAGAGTAAAATAAACTTACTTTCCACGGATGGAAAACGAATGCAGAAAACTTCATCTTTCAATTCACCGTCTGCAAAGTCAGCTGCCTGCCATAAACACGATTTATCATTCTCAGCATGCTTCTGCACCGTCATCCTCGGCAACACTGCACTTTTTTTTTTTGGTATACATTATGAAATCCGAAAATAATAAGAGAGAAGAGCAAGGGAATTGAGGAAGAGAAGATTCAAGATACCCAGATGATCGGCGCAGATCTTGAGAGTCTTGGATTGCCTCATAACAAGACGAACTTTTCCAGTCTCTTTGTGCTTCAACAGCTTCACAGTACCAGCGCCTCTCTCTTTCCATTGATTCGTTTCTTAATGAAATCGATACAGCTTCGACTTCCTGGTAAATAAAATTATGTATATCAACATCATTCCGATCTATAGATAAATCTACGATAAACGAAACAAAAACACTGACAGATCGAGGATGGCATCTTCATTTTCCTCTTCGGTGCTGACAGCTACTTCTTCGAGCTTGACAATAGGACCACGTCAGCTCCCGTTCTTCGTCCTCAGCAGCGGAGCAACTTCAACTACTTCTTCCGACTAAATTAATAAACATCGAGAATTATTTCTTTTTTTAAAATTGAGATGAAATTAAAATAAACTTAAAATTAATTTTATTAATTGTGATGTAGTCTCCTCCCAATGAATTAATAGAAAAAATAATGTTCTTTTTGAATCGATGCATTATTTTATAATTTTTCGTAATTGAAAACTAAAAAAATCCCTTTCTATAATTGAGAATTGTTGGTTTATTTTATCCATTTTTTTAAATAATCACGGGTATCTAGATTTATTGACCGACTAATCCAGATCGGGTATTGCAGAGTCAACCCAGTTTGCTCCATTCGCAAACGTCAGTATTCGAAGCCCTGACCTTACTTAAGGTACCTAATGTCTCATCCAACTAAACCAACTATTTTGGTAATTTATTTTTTCTTTATCATAAAAAATAGAATTTTGTTAATGCTATAATAACGAAATACCATACATGCAAAAAAAAAATAGTACTTCAAAATAGCAAAACATACACACACAAAAAGGCCACTCAAGTTTTGGCCAAAAGAAGCCACTCAATGCACCAAAGCTCCTGAATGATATACACACCAAACGATGTATATGTAATCCATCTACCAACTTAGATGTCTGAACTCTGAACTATATCAACGTGTTTATTCTAGATTTTCAAGATCAAGCTGCCTAACATTATGTAATTAGGTCCGATCAACGAACTCCTTACTGGCAAAGTTTCTGCTATATACACGGTGAAGCAGGAAATGAAAAATCATACCCAGTTTTTAGGAAGTGAAAAATCATGAAACCTGAAGGACACCTCCCCGGCAGTGTCTCTCTGTAACCGGCGGTCCGGCTGCTGGTCGCTTGAGGGTATACTACCATTTGGTTCATCAGGTGGCAAAGGCAGTATTTGATTGTCGTTAGGTTGGTGTGCTAATCTAACCTCAGGGGGCAATGGTAACGCTGACGGAGAGGAAACCCACTGCCTGGCACTGCTAAAAGCTCGGGAAACCAAAGATTGATCCCACAAGAACACGTGCATTAGAATCGGCACATTGGCATGCCGGTGTAGTGAGAGCTTTTGACTTAGGGAGACGGTATCGAAACATCGAACGGCTCCAGTTGACGAAACCATCCATGGAAGAACCTTCTGGTTTGATAATCTTGAGACGACCAACATCCTGGACGCGTTCAATGCTTCTCTGTAGAGAGTGGCGAGTCCTGATCTTGTTGATGGAACGTTTTCGTCACCATCAATGACGGATGATATGTAGATGAATCCCTGTTATTGAAGAGAAAACAATATATAAGCATATGCTGTCTAATTGACAATCATGGAGAATCGGACTGCATACCTCTTCTGTGCGGCTTATGGCGAACCCGAGCTTTATGTCATCTTCTTTTAATTTGATCTCGATCGCAATTTCTTCGGCAAGAGGGGCGTACCATAGGCGAACCGCTCGAACGACTCCGAGGTCAACCCCATGGTAGTCCTCAAAACCATATAGACTTGCATTGGCTAGGTTTGATAAATCAGATAATGACCCAGCATTCACAGTAGCTGAAGCAGTTTCCCCAGAGATCTGCTCAAAAAAATAGTTCCAATAATCAGATGAACATGAACCAGTTTGCCTAATTGGTCAACCTCAGAAGCTGGTATCTTAAGAGTTCACATAAGAGAATTGCCTTGCAATTTATAGCCTGTCCTAGTCGTCGCTAGCTAACATCAGTGGTGAACAATTTCCAAATACTTCAATTGAAGATTAAGGCTTTGACATGGTACCTTAGTGAGCAAGGATTCAGTCTGGATATTCATGAAAACAATGGGGACCCCGGAGGCCTGAGATGCAATAAGCCAAGCATTTGCTCGAGCAAGGGTATCCTCCAAGTCGTTGTATCGAGAGGCCAATCGATCTGAAGCCTTTGGAAGGAGGAGAATGGAAAGAAAGCTGCTCGAGTTGGGAACATATAGAACCTCCTGCATCCTCCTCTCCCACGGATATGAGACGTATCCATCCTGAAGCCTTGACCTTTCTAGTTCACTGACCATCCTGGAGCTCCTTGAAGCTGTAAACTCGTTGTTTAACATCGGATCAGAAACTAGGGTAAGACAAAAGAAAACTGAAGGAAAAGAATCCAATTTCTATTTTCAACAAGTTATGGGGTCAGTGCAGAACATTTACTTATGAACAACTTCTATGAAGAGATTAAAGAATACCAATTACCAAGGAGCAAATGGGGTTAAAAAGAAATAATCATTAACACTCCATTCATCTATTCAAACAGACAGTCGAGTTAATTATTCTATTAAAAAGTACAAATCCAAGTCCAACAACAGATATTACTGGATAAGTAGAGAACAGTGACCTTTAAGGAGCATTAAGCAAGGACAAAGACAAAGTATGTATGCTTATTTTATGCTAATACAACTACTTCGTAGGTTACATTCATGTTAGCACACTAGGATTTCGAATGTCCTTTTCACCATTGATGAGTGATGCCGGTAGACATAAGGAATGGTAGCTAATTCAGTAAAGGGACAAAGATGTAAGTTGTTCTTACTCCATTAGACTAACTAGTAATTACTTTAGGCAACTACACCCATGTTTCACGTTTGAATCCGGTTAACATAGTTTGCGAGAATATAACATCAGCTTCAAGACATAATCCATCCTAAAGTTAACATAAACAAAAAAAAATGTTTTGAAGGCTGGTCTCTCTCTACGTCGACGGATGCAGAATTTTATGTCATGGATACAAACATAAGAAATTATATCATTAATATAAAATATAAATAAAATACTTAAACTACACGTGAATATAAAAATTCTAAAAGGTATACCTATCCCAGCACCCATCAACCCATCCTTACCTATCCACATTCTAAGAGGATTATCTTGGAAAGTTAGCCTCCCTACCAAATGCAAACAATTTATGCTTATCATGACTTCCATCATTTCAAATTATGAAATTCGTAGCCAACAAGAGATGATTTTTATTTTGATAAATTCCATCTCCCAACATGTACGTTTAAGTCCATAAATAACCATTGATCAGTGGTATACAAAACCCAAGACAGAGAGAAGACCCAATTTGTTATTAGGTGATGGGGGAGCAAGCTTTTCTCAAGCTGATATTGCTTTCTAGCCTGAATACTAGAGCCCGCCATGAAAAATTAAAAGCCAGAGTTGAAAAGTAGGTGTGCATTAATGGTTGTAATGAAGCAAAAGGCAAGAATTAGGTCCATTAACATAAAAATACATCATTCATTGAGAAAACTATGTCTTGGATGATATTGACAGATACACCACCCAAAAACATTGACTTCTAAAGATACTTTTAAGATTTTTAATATAAAATGATTTTGTAATTTTTAGATATCTAAATTTGTATTTTTATGGCATTTTAATTTAAAATATCAAGTTTTCATATCAATTGCAAACACATTTTTTACAAGCAATTTGCAAATAAAACCATTTCTAGATTTGATATATATCATGTCCCTTTAATGACAGGAAAAAACTTTGAAATAAAACTGGAGAGCATTTTATTTGTAAATATAAATAATAAATATATTAAAAGAATTTATTATTACACGTGTCTAACGCAGCATTTGCTACGGAACAGAAACACGGGAGAATCCAAGCAATAGGGTCGAAAAGTCTATAGTGCAAACAAAAAGAAAAGAAATCAACACTCGACTCGGCGGCGAAAAAAAATAGTAAGAGAACTTAACTCACCTTGCAACTCGAAGCACTCAGACTCAGTCCGATCTAAGAACCCGACAGCGTAATTTGGATCCGCTATAGACCTCAGCATGTACTGCTTTCTCCCGCCTGACTCGTTAGGCACGATACACGCTTGCAGCTGAGCGAACTCGTCGGTGCCTCGCCTGACTCGGACGAGAATCGAGGTCTCCTTGTTCTTATAGGAGCTGTGAAGGATCCTCTGGACACCGCTCCTGCCGCCTTTAAAAGGCGCCTTGTGAGTCAATCCTGAGCCGGATCCAATATGAATCTCCTCAACGATATCGCCGGTCTGGAGCATGTCTCCGGCCCATTCGTCGGCCTTCGAGCTCCCCTTCAGACACTCGATCGAGAGTACGTGCAGCGATCTAATGCTCTCTGATCGTAGAGTTCGGTCCATGGGCATTTTCCGAGTTTGGCAAAACGCTATACAATCCTTGCAAATATCTTCTCGATGATCAACATATAATATTCAAGAGGAGAAAATCAAAAAAAATAATTGAAGGAGTTTTTTCGAAGGAAAATATGGGAATATTATTGAATCAATTATAAAAGCCAGAGATGGTGCAACAATACAAGTTGAAAATTGAAAGAGAGACGAACCAATTGGCAAGAGGAAGGCAAAGTCAAGGAGAAGAAGAATATATATTATTTTGTTGAAAATAATATTAAGATACGGAATCGTAATAAACTTAATATACGAAATAGTAATTTCGAGGAATTTGTGCAATGATTTCTTTTTCTTTTTTTATAAAGGATAAGTGAACATACTTTCTTTACAATATAATTTTCTTTTTAGACTGTTTTGGTCAAGAAAATGAATTAATAAATTGAATATATACCACTATTTATATTTATAAAATATATCTAATACTATTTATTCCACAATTACATATTAACTAAATATCATGTATCAAATTGTTTTCTATAAATTAATATGATATTCATTATACTTATCCATATAATGTTTTTTTCAGGAACAAGAGGAAATGCATCTCAAGTGCACCAATTAGTAGGTATGAGAGGACTAATGTCGGAAAGCACTCTGTTCCTGGTTCTCCTATAACTGGATCCTCCAAAACCACAAGAATCCTTAGTTAGAATGGGATTCAAACTCAGCACCTTTTGAGATTTTGAGAAGAGTTCTTTAGAGATCACAATATGATGAGTTGTAAGTTGTAAGTTGTAAGTTGTAAGTTGTATTCGGGAGTTATTTCTATCGTTGACTGTATGGTATAATCATCAAGGGCTTGAGAGGAGGTTATTTATCCTGTGACAGATGTCAGCGATGATAAATTTACTTAAATAATACATATTTTAATTATATAACAAAATAACACCCTAAAATTATTTGAAAAATTTTAAAATTGTCTGACAAAAAAAACATGCCACATTGATCGCATCTTCTAAGATGTATCTTATAAGTTGTGCATTTACTTACGTGATTATACGATTGTCAAAATTTATAAAAGAAGGATCAAAATGAAAAAAACGGAGAAAAGTTAAAAATATAAATATATGTTTATGTCAAGTAATAAATTCTTTTAATTGATACATATAAATTAATGTCAAGTAATTTAATATTTAATCGATAATTTAAGTATTTAAACAAATTCTTAACCTTATTATTTTAATTGTTTCCAACCGATTTATACAAATTCTTTTATTTCTTTCGCCACAATCTTTAAACATTTTATACCATTTATACCTTTAGTTTTAGTATATCATCCATAATCTAAGTTATCCAACTTTCCAAATGAACCAAATTTCTATATTTGTATAGTTTAAATTTAAAATTTAAAATAATTTTTTTTGAAAAATCAAATAAGCCGTTGAACTTTAAAAGAACCTAATTTAACCCTTGAATTAGACTAAAAAAATCAATTTAGCCCATTTATCACATTATTTGTCATGTCACCAGTCACTGTAGACTGTCATATCGCACCTTGAAGTGACACGTCAGTACCGTAACGATCAACGATAAAAACCGTTGGTCAAAAGACCATATTATATTTATTTTCTTGAAGATCACATTTAAAAAAAAGTACGAGAGTCTTACGTATCCTTTTACATCCATTTAATGACCGAAAACAAAACTCATACATACACTTTTATTGTCCGACTCGTATTTATGTTAACACATGTTTTTAACATGTATCATAAGTATTTTTTTTGTTTTGGATAAAATCCGTATAAATCTTTTCAGAGTATATCTTGAGATTATATTTCATTTTATTCTTTACAAATACGATGTACATTTTCATTATTTTTAATTTTCTTTCGATTTTAAAGTATAATAATTGGGCTCATCAATATGATGCATTCTTCATACTGACCAGGTGTGAATGACGTCCCCGTTTTCGCACCGTCCAATTTAACAAAACTAAAAAATTGCAAACTTTACTGTCATCTCCACATTTACGATGTAAGGTATTAATATATAGGTTAAAGTATATAAATAATACATTAACTATAGTACGTTATTTTATTAAGTCTTATAATTATTAAAAGATATAAAGTGATCATTCAACTATAGGTCATTATTTTGTTGAGTCTCCTGACTATTAAAAGTTACAAAATGATCATCTGATTATTCATATGTTCCAAACTATTTATTTTTCGTTAAAAAAGATGATCATTTGAATTGGATGTTAACATACTCACTAAGATATGATAATATATGATCACATAATCACAATGTAAAGAGTACTATCGCATTGTGATTTTCAAATCCGCAACGTTAATTATCGATATAGGTAAACAGTACTATCGCAATGAGATTTTCAAATTCGCAACACGATTTTCAAATTTGCAACTTTAATTACCGATACAGGTAAACAGTACTATCGCAATATTAACAGTACTATCGCAACGCAATTTACAAATTCGCAATGCGATTTTCAAATTCGCAACGTTAATTACCGATACAGGTAAACAGTACTATCGCAATTTTAACAGTACTATCGCAATGCGATTTTCAAAGTCGCAACGCGATTTTCAAATTCGCAACGCTAATTACCGATATAGGTAAACAGTACTATCGCAATGTAAACAGTACTATCGCAATGCGATTTTCAAATTCGCAACGTTAATTACCGATATAGGTAAACAGTACTATCGCAATGTAAACAATACTATCACAATGTAAACAGTACTATCGCAATGCGATTTTCAAATTCGCAACATGATTTTCAAATTCGCAACCTTAATTACCGATATAGGTAAACAATACTATCGCAATGTTAACAGTACTATCGGAATGCGATTTTCAAATTCGCAACGCTAATTACTGATATAGGTAAACAATATTATCGCAATGTAAACAGTACTATCGCAATGTAAACAGTACTATTGCAATGCGATTTTTAAATTCGCAACTCTAATTACCGATATCTGGTAAACAGTACTATCGCAATGTAAACAGTAATATCGCAATGCGATTTTCAAATTCGCAACGCGATTTACGATATAGGTAAACAGTACTATCGCAATGTAAATAATACTATCGTAATGTAAACAACACTATCGCAATGCGATTTTCAAATTCACAACACTAATTACCGATATAGGTAAACACAACTATCGCAACGCGAATTTCCGAAACTAAGTTGCGAATTTGTGAAATTCGCGTTGCGAATTTGGAAAATCCCGTTGCGATTTACATATTCGTGTTGCGTATTTGGAAACTGTGTTGCGAAATTGGAGTTCGCGTTGCGAATTTGTTGGTCATTTTCGTAAATCCAAAAAAGTATTATTAAAATTGTATATTATAAAGTATTTTCGGTCACTGAAATTATTTTCTCGAAAGAAAATAACAAAAAAGAGAACATTGATTATTGGACTTGGTTCGGTCCAAACTGCGCGGTTGACCTGGTGACATTCAAACATCATTCCGGTTCATGCTTTATTTGGACCAGTTTTTTTTTTTCATTCTTCTCATAAGAAAAGGGGCAAACTTTCTTAGTGATGAGAAAAAAAAATAACTCATATAAGGTGTAAGGAAATTTATTTTCTTAATTAGGGTAGAACGAATAGTATACAAGGAAGATGGTCAAACAATCTAGTTTCTTTCAGGGCCGTGGCTAGGTTGTTAGAGGCACTGTATAAATTCTTGTAAAGGGACTCTTAGATCTTGAACTTATTTTTCTGAAGTGTGTGAAATAAGAGGAAACATGCGTATTTTATGTATTTTGATCAAAAAAGGAGGAAATTACATTACACTGAGCAGACCCACTTGCATTGTTTTTTCTAAAAAATTTACTTGTTAACGAGATTCAAACTTAGGATCAATAAAGTCATGGACTCAATGATCTAACCACTGCACTATACCTATTTTTATGTTTCTTAATGACAACAACTGATAGATATACTCTATTTCGAGATCCCTGTTTTTTGAGGTCATGTACCGTCACGCACTGTACACTGGCTCAACCACGCCCCTTGTTTTTTTAAAAAGATGTTTAAAAGATACGATATCTTTTGGTTAATATTTTATTAAAGTTGTTCAGACTACATACAGTTTGAAAAAAACGTTGTCTTTTAGACTTATTTCCAAAAACACCATATAATCCAACCGTTTTCTTCCGTATATTATTCATTCATCCTTGATAGAAAAATTATTTTTCTAACACCGCACAGTAACATTTTTCATTCATATTATTATCCCATCAAAATTTCCTAAGAAAAGGTCATGTTTATACAATGATTCTAATTTTGGTTCAAAGTTTTTAAAATTATAGATTATTGTTACACCGATCCAATAAACAAACATTTGATCTAAAGGAACCAACAGTTTCTACAAAAATTCAGCTTACACCTAATGATTAAATAATAAATACTCTCCAACCCTTGACAATAATGTCTCGTAAAAATCAGACGACAATATCAACAAAGGACTGAATAGATTTTGTTGTTAATTAGATTAATAATAACACTGTCACTGGGGAAACCCTTTCCTTAACGGATGTTATTTCGATAAATAATATTTTTAAGATGCTATTATCAACATCATAGTTAATACCGCAGTTAAGTTTTAACGGTGGGATCCAAATAACGAAATTAAATGTTAAATATGATTTGAGAAAATAAAATTTGAGTATCAAAATGAAGTAAAATTAATAGTTTATATACTAAACGTAATTTACCCTAATTATTATTATATAATGTCACATCATTTTTTCTATTAAGTCATCAATTAAATTTAACAGTGAGTGGTCAAAATAGAAACAAATCATAACGTTAAACATAATTTTAAAATATAATTAGGTGATCAAAATAAAAACATAAAATAAATATGTGAGTAAATAGGTAGTTTACCCAAAAATATAACTTAACTGAAAAAATTATCAAAACTAACTTCGATCAAGCAGTTCTATGCAAGAACTAGCAGTAGAAAGCCTCCTGGTTTTCGCATCAAGATATAGGAATATGGTTTTACAATATATTCTTCCAAAATTCTAAAATACAATTTATTAATATAAAATAAAAGAAGGTAAAAATTATTTATAATTTAAAATTTTATAAAAAATCTAATTTTTTAGGTTTAATAGAATAATATTTAAAGTTGAAATCAGGAATGTTATATTCTTCGTTATACTTTTAGTTGCAATAAAAAATATTACAAATATGTATAATTTTTTTTACTGTAGTCTAAATCTCTCGCAATATAATTTTTCGATTAGAACCAAAATATTATAAAATTATACAACTTTTTAAATAGAAGATAATAACGTTTTTGATTAAAAACAATCTTAAATTATCCATAAATTACTTCAGGAATACCCTGATTCTTGCTTCTCCTTTTGTACAAATGAGTATCATTTATGGCAGAGATGAGACAAAAAGGTGCGATATTTTCTTTGAATAACTATCTTCCTGCTTTGACGTTTGAAAGATGAAAAGCATTCTAGAAAATAGGCAAGCAAACGGTAATCATGCGTGAAAAGTCCGACATTAATTGATAATCATTACAGCATAAAAATCACGTGTTACTATACAGCCGAATCGATTTCTATCATAATTTCAATGGCGTTGGGTTCTAGATAAATATTATTGCTGCTGCTTGTAACCACACGAGCACCTTGCTCGATTCTCCGACAGTGTCTGAAAAATATCAAACCAAGATGAATGAAACAAAATGGAAATATCAAAGAAGGGTTTGGCTGTGTCTTAATTCAGATCTCACTATAAATAAATAAATATGATTCTATATTGAGAATTATAAAATTTTAAAATAAATTAAATTATATAAAATTTAAAAATTCTAAGATATTGTCCCTTTTCAACGCTCAATCCATTTCTGAACGTACCTCCACCTGTTTTTGGAGATCTTTTATATATTCAACAGCCAAATCCAACATGTCGGCAGTGTTCGTTTGCTTAAACATAGAAAGAAAATGTCAGTTTCCCAATAAAATAAAATAAAATAAACGGTATAATATAAAATTAGTTCTTAATGTTTATTAAAATGACTTTTTGTTTTTTTGGAACATTTAGATTCTTAATGTTTTATTTTAGGCTAAAAATGTCTCTATTGAATATTAATCGTTTGTTAATTAACAATTTACATCCACAATAAATTTTTTTGTTCTAAACTAAAATATTGGGTCAAAATGTTCTAAAAAATTAGGGTTAAAGTACTATTTAATCGAATGTTAGAATATTTTTTGACATTGCGCCGAAATAAAATCCCATGTATGCATGAATAAAAAGCTTTGTACCTTATCCATGTTTGGAACAAGGTCTTGAAGCTTCCTTATGCGTTCGCTTATTTTGGTTCTTCTTACCTGAATGGAAACAAACTTGAACTAAATATCAAAGGTTGTGTATTTTCAGGTTTCAATTGCATTATTGTATTCAGTTCAATTTTTATGTATAAATGCAATTGGAATGTGGGTAGGATATAATGTTACAAGGGTCTTAAGAAACGGTACCCTCTCAGCAATGCTTCTAGGATGAGTGGCAAACCCTCTCTTGGCCCGGATCTTGCACGGAACCGAATCCTGATGCTGCAACAGCTTCTCGATGGCAGACATATCCGGCGAACTCTTCGGTAAACTCAAATGATGAGCCAAAAGTGGCGGCGGATGGTTTCTGGCCCCCATCGTATTCTATTACAGATTAACCAAAACAACAACAAAGAGCCGTTGTTAGCTTTGAATATTTCCGATGTATGTAACAAATGCCACATTATATTAAATGTGTACTACCTGAGTTTCTGCTCCGTCGAATTCTATGCCGGAAAGCGATCGTCCGTCTTCGTTGAGTCTTGTTACGCCGGACATGTTATCGGAAACCATCATTGAGTCGTCCCAAGACGAAACAGGAAACCCCGAGGAAGGCAGCCTGCTTGCCGAAGGAAGTGCTGATTCTATGTTAATGCTATTAATGCTTCCATAATAGCCTGCAACTTTATAAGATTTTGAAGATCTCAATTCATACAATTAATCTAATAATTATATTAATCAAATTCTAAAACGAAGATCTGTATGTACTGTCATGAAACATGCAAAAAAGGAGAAAAAAGGACTTACTATTTTCAATGTTTATATTGGAGAATAGCCCTGCAGGGGAGCTGCTATGCCGAACAAGACTCGAATTATTGCAATTTCCCATCTTCGTCGAGCTCGGAATCCGGTTATCCATGGTTGAATTTGGTTGGCTTTGATAAAAATTCTGTGGAGCAGAGGAATAGTTCCCCTGCTGCTGTTGCTGAAGAATAACCCCTGTTTGATTATTCGTTTGTGTCATAGTCTGGGGCTCGATTTTTACTGTCTTTTCCCTGACGGGTGAATTCGGCATTATCGAGCCGAGATTCTGGTCGGAAACGTTCTCCTGATTATCCCCGGTTCCGCCACCAGCATCGTCGCCGCTCGATAGAAACCGGGCAATAATTCGTTCTGTTTCGGGACTCGACGGCCGGTTTAGAATCTCCTGACAGAAATCTTTGTCCAATATACTCAAAAAATATGAACTGGGTGCAGATTGGTACCTCGTCAAGCCAGAGTTCATCTGTTTTTGATGTTGTTGAGGTTGATGATAATGATTCCGGCGTTGAAGATCTGATTCCATTTCCCTTCTCCAACAGTAAAAAAGGAAAGTTTTCAATCAGATCAGTAGTTAGTATCAAAGTGCCTACAAGGATCCAATCTGTTTGTTTCCCAAGAAAGTAGCTACTGGAAAAAATATTTTCTCGGAAAACTCATCAAATTTAACAAAGTGATCACCCAGAAAACATGAGCTGCTTTCACGTGGATCTGTCTCAATAACTTCAAAGCGGGAATCCCGAGAACTTGGTTGGCCTGAAACTCGAGCACTATCAATAACAGCTCCAAAACCAGAGGAGCCTGGGAAAAAGATTCCCAAGAGTTCTTCGCCACAAAACAACACTTATAATCAAATCTGAACGAAGCCCAATTTTCTATTCTTGAAAATCAGAGCACTAAGCAGAAGAAGATAACATTAATTAGTGAAAGATGATGATAATAATAAAAATAAAAATAAAAGTGAGCTATTCAATGAAAAGAATATCCTGGATTTCAACAGCACACAAACAGAAGAAGAACAACAAAATAAATCTCCTCCCTAACCTCTATGTCTCTCCACTTTCTATTAATCTTTTTCTTTTCTCCAGTTCTCTCTTGACATATGTTTCTGGGTTCATGGATGTGTAGTGCTGTTGATTCAAATGAGTAAGCAGAAATATTAAAGAGAACTGATTCGGGTTTAGTTTAATTGATTGTGATTAAATTTTTAAATATAATATTTAATTAAAATAAAATTATAAATATTAATAAGATTTATTAACTATCTTAGTGACCAAGGATGATTATGTTATTTCACTCTGTGTGGATTTAAATCTTGACATTTACCTAAGAAACATATTACAAATATAATACTTCTTTTTTCCACTTAATAAAAAATTATAAATATATATTTTTTCTTCTTTTTTATACTGAAACTCAAATGATTATGATTATAATTTTAATTAATTATTAAATATTTTTAACAAAAATATTAATTATAAATAAAATAATTTTGTGAATACTTAATTTTTTCTTAAAAGAATTTGGTTACTAAAATTTAGTATGAGTAATTTATATAATGTTATTGTTATGAGCGTCATTACGAAAGGAGACAATAAAAATGGAACGAGGGGTGATCAAAATAGTTATTTTTAATTTTTTTTAAATAAAAATCTTTTTTATTTTATGGATAATATACTTTTTGTTCCAATAAAATTTTATAAATTCATTATTTGATATAAAATTCCACATCCTTCCCCTATAAAGACGGTAGGCTTTTAAATTTAATTAACGGGGATAACCCCAGCAGAGAGGAACATAGGTGTGCCCTATTTTAGAAGGAAACCATGATTTTTTTGTGAATAAAATAAAATATCCCACCAATAAAATAGCTTTATCATCCTTGTTGGACCCCAATTGCAATTTATATTTTTTTATACAAAATTTAAATTATCATAAATTTTTAAACTTTATTTTTTTTAAAATCGAACATTAAATTGAAAGCAATTGAATGTTTATGTGCAATTAAATCTAATATTTTTGGAATATTGCTACAACAACAAAAGAGTGTTAATTGAACTAATTTTATATATTAATTTTAAAGAGTTATCAACTTTTGAAAATATGTTTGGGCGTGGGATAAATGGTCATTTGGGAGAAGATTAATCAATTAGATCCAAACAACTGTTGAAATACCTGAATATATTATACAAAATATATTAAAGAATTAACAAAACTAAATAACAAAAAATTACAAGCGAACTCCTGTGCCGGTGAGATGTCCCCTTTAATAACACTTTGGGTAAACCACACTAGTAGCCGTTGAACTTTAAGATAATTCCACTTTTGTCACTAAATATTCAAAATTATATTACAGTCACTAGCTTTTTAATCCACTTTTATAATGATCATTTCCGTTAAGAAATATTTGAGGTGACGTGTTAAAATCTTATTTAAAAAAAAACATTAACATAGTGTTTGTAAGAAGATTGTATGGACTTTTCGCTATACCAAACAAGGACGGATCAATAAATAGATCATCATGAGAAATATAGGGATGTACATGGGATCTGAACTTGATCTGATCGAGTCGGAGTTTTTTTTAAAAAAAATCCGGGGTAAGGTAGGGTCGAGTCGGATTTTTTTAATGTGATGTTTGGTGTGATCGTGTTTGGGTTTAGGGTGAAAAATATTCGACCTGACCCGACCAAAAAAAATAATTTTATCTTATATATTTAGGAATAATTACAATAATGTCCTATATATATATATTTTTTCCAATTAAGTCATTATTTTTATTGAATACAAATAATATTTTTATTATTATTTCGGGTCGGGTCGGATCAGATCTTGGGTAAAAGATTCCTTGTTCTCGGATCAGGTCGGATGGATCAAAAATCCGACCCAACCCGACTCATGCCCATCCATAGAGAAATATCCATTGAAAAGTATTTTTCATGTTTAATAATACCATTGTTTAATAATATAATTACTATGTAAGTACAATTATATCTTAATTTTTTATGTTATATTTGATAGTATAAATTGTAATTAAAGTTTAGACATTATATATAGTTGTTTAAAAATATAATTACTACGCTAGTATAATTATATCTTAATTTATATATATTATATTTAATAGTATAAATTGAAATGACATATTTACATAAACTTAAATAAAATAATATGAATAATAAAATTGAAAATTATAATTATATAAGTGCAATTACTCGCATAATTGTACTAATTCCCACTCAAATAAAAATGAAAGAGTTTAATTAGAGATTCTCAACTATATTTAGTTCAATAAAATTTATAAATTACGATGGTTATTCAAATACATATAATTTTACGTATTATTTATAAATATTATTTTATTACAATAGGATAAAGTAAAAAATCTCTTTTCAAAAAAAAAATAGAGTCTAAACACTACAATATAATTGTTTAAAAACATAATTACTATATAAATGTAATTATATATTAATTCTTATGTTATACTTGATGATATAAATTGTAATTATATAATTATATAAATTTAAATTTTAAAATACTATTAATTAAAAAATTGAAGAATATAATTATACAAGTATATTTACTTTTATAATTACATAATTTCTCACTCCTTTAATAATTAGAGAGTTTAATTAAAAAATGTCTATTATATTTAATTTAATAAAATTTATAAATTATAATAATTGTATAAACAAACCGCGTTATGTAATTAATATCTAAAGAAAATTGTGAATAATTTCTTAAACTTCTTTCAGTTAAATAAAATCAAAATATTTGGCTTTGATCTTCAATGGGGACCACTGAAGAGCCACGCGTCCATTTATATGTCGTACATAGAGGGACTGGGGATTAGTTTATTGAAGGCCAAATACAGTATTATCCTTTGAATGAACGTTGAACGGGAGGATAATTTTGTCATTTAAGTGCTTTTGCTTGAGTACAAATACTAAATAGTATTATTTAACAAATAATGCTGAAGCTTTAGCAGAGTTATTGAATGCCAAATCCTATAAACAACATTTTCCCCAAATATTTTTTAAATAAAAGTATGATTGCAAAATAAATTAATATAAAAACTAATCTACGCCTTACATCACAACTCATATATTTTAATAGATTTGATTACATATCTTAAATATATTTTTATTTCTTAAAATAAAAAATGAAAATTAATAAGTAAACCTTCGATTTTCTGTTGTTCTGATTAATTTAATGATGAAAGTTCATCGTATCACAAAAAAAAATTATGGTTCTTAATTATCTAAATAAGTCAGTGATCCCTGGACTATAACATGCTGCTTTATTGAGTCATTCGATTATTAAAAGTTATAACATAATCCCTCGACTATATGATGCTATTTTGTTGATTGAATCTCCGTTTACATTATGTCGTCGAGCCAGTGTGTGAGACATTATGCCGTCGAGCTAGTGCTTAAAAGCAACAGTGATGTCAATATACATCATTAAAATATAATTTTATCATATCACAGTTGACATGTCAACGTTCAGCTCAGAAAAACTGTCAATTTTTTAAAAAAAAAAGAGAGATGATTTTATAACCTATGAATTGTCGGGTGACCATTATGTAACTTTTAATAGTCAATAAACTTAACAAAGGATCACTCTATAGTTGAAGGACTATTTGTGTACTTTACTCTAAATTTATATCTATAGATTTTTTTAATATAGATCTTTATTTGTGGGTTGATTAATTAAAAAAAGTCTTGTAGTGATCTAATATAAAGATGATTTTTTTAATTTAATTTATTTTTCATGTATAATATTAAAGTTATACTTTTGAACTTACTTAAGGTATGTTAACCTAATAATAAATTAAACGAACATCTATATATAATGAAGTAACGAATGCCAAATTACATTATGAAAAACATTTGATTAAATAAGTACGACGAAAAAAAAAGTCTTTGAGATTTAGAGAAAATTAATTAAAACAGTCAATAATCCCATTATTTGAAACTTATTAATAAAAAAAAATATCATTGCTTAGCTTGTTAATCTTCTCTCATAGTGACTTCAAAGCTCAATTTTGCTCAATACTCAATCTACAAAATAAAGTAAAGGTGGTGAACTTATACGAGTGGCGAGATTTAATATTATTTATTAAAGTATTTAAAATATTTAAATTTATAAGAGTCAATAATAAATTATATATATATATATATATATATTAAAGGTAAATGATAATTTTATCATTATTTCAATTTTAAATTTAATATTTTTAAAGATCATACCTACGATTCCCTTTAACGTTATGCCCCTAATTATACTCCTCAAGATGATTATTATAATCTTACGTTAAATACTACGATTTTATCAATAATTAGTTGAAGCAATGAGATAAAATATTAAATCTTTTAAGTAATGTTATTAGTTCGAATTTGTTGTCCCTTGTTCCCATATGTAATGGGGGCAAAGGGAGGTAAGATAGTAGACTGCCCCAACACCAGGTTGAGAGCAGCTTCCGTAGAAGACCTCCAAATTATGAAATGCCCTCCGTGGGACTCGATCCTACGACCTCAATGTTAAGAATGTTAGATAGTTATCTCAAACCTTGTTCTCATATGTAATGGGATAAGGGGGAGGTAAGATAGTAGGTTGCCCCCAACACTAGGTTGAGAGCAGCTTCCGAGACCTCCAAATTATGAAATGTCCTCCATGAGACTCGATCCCACGACCTCAAGGTTAAAAACCTTGTGCTCTACCAACTGAGCTGGATGGTCATCTCAATAGTTCGAATTTGAATGTTTTAAATGAAATAATTGAGTTGAAAGAATTACCCTTAATAAATCTATACAGTAATTAATTAATTAATAAATTAAATATTAATATGGTTTCAGAAAAGATTTTAGATTTCAAAATGTTAATTGAAAGTTAAATTTTGCATTGTTTTATGTGTTATTCGAGCCACTGAATGACAAACGTCATTGAGTGGAGAGGAATTTAAGCTCCAGTGAATACATTTTTCATTTTGCAGATAATGTTGCATATTCAAAGGAGACGGTCCAAGTGATGTAAAGGTAGTGACACTATTTTTTTTTCTCTTAAAAAATATAATTTTATATGTCGTCAAGCCATTTCAAGCCACGTGATAAAATATAGGTCATCAATGACTTTTCTATAATGATATTTATGATCAACTGATATTATAGGTTAA